CCCCCCCCGCCTGGTCACCCCCACTCTTTTCTCCTCCCTTTCGCCGCCTTCTCCCGCCTTTCCCCTTTTCTCCCCCTCCTCCTCGGCTGGCGGGCACACATGTCCTTCTCTCTGCCGCGCCTCTTCGGCGAGCCGGGGCCCGGGTCGGGGGCCCCGGTCTCCGGTCTTTCGCTGTCGGAGCAGCTATCCGCCCTGACCGGGGGGGATCCCCATGGTCCCCGGCCGGCGGGGGCACCGGGATCTGGCTCGGGGCCCGGGTCGGGCCCGGGGCCGTCCACGGCCCGCGTGAATCCCCTGCTGCCCGGTGGCAGCCGATCAATGCTGTCCGGCCTGCAGCAGGCCCTCCTCCCGCAGCATCTGGTCCCGACGCCGGCTGCCGGTCCCGGTGCTGGCTCCGCTCCCGAGGCGGGGGACTCCTTCTTCGGGCGCATTTACCAATCTGGCCGGCGAAAGTTCGACTCGGTGGTCTTGATGTCGGCATTGCTCCTGTCATCGGCGGCCCTGTTTGTGACGGTGCGTGTGGCCACGCGCGCATGGTTGTCTCTGTCCTTGCCTGTTCTTGCCTGTCTGTCTGCCTGTCTGTCTGTGTGTGTGTGTGTGTATGTTGATGCGCTCACATGTGCGTGTGTGCGTCAGTGTACTCCTGTGGGTTTGTTAACCCATGTGTGCGCCTCTCTGTGGCTGGGGATCTTCCCCTCGCATCCACGTGTAATGCACACGCGCATGTGACGGGTGGGCTAACACTGGCGCTTTCCCGCCCGCCCCCCCCCCCCCCCCCCTCCCTTTCGGTCTCTGCTGCCGTCGTTGTCGTCGCCCCCCGCCGCGCCCTCACGCCACTCAAGGCACTCTTCTCGCTGCCGGCTATGTTCATCCTGCGCCCGGCCAAACCGGCGCTGGCTTTCAGCGCTGCGTCCCTCCTCTTCCTCGGTGCACTATATGCCGGGGGGGCCCTGTCGGCCCTTGTGGCCGCACTGTCCAGTAGCGGCGGCGGCGGCGGCGGCGGCGGCAGCACCAGCAGCGGGCCAGGGATCCGGTTGCCAGGTGCCGCGCTGGGCATCGCCTACCTGGCGATCACCCTGCTGACGGTGGTCTTCTGCCTGACCCGGCAGTCGGTGCTCCTGGTGTTCCCGCTGTTTGTTGGGCAAATCCTCCTGCTGGGCTGGCTGGTCTACCGAGTGGGACTGGGGTTCTTCATGGGTGCGCTCAAGGGGGCCGCATCCGTTGGTCGGTCAGTGCTGCCGGTATAGGCCCCCCCCCCCCCCGCGCCTCCCCCTCTGTCCCACTTGCCGCCTGTTGCCTCCGCTCCTCGGGCCAGGGGCCTCCTGCCAGCGGGGTCAAGCTTGCCGGCCGAGCTGCCCGCCCTGTGCTCCGGCCAGTCCCATGCCCACACCTGTGCCCGCCCTGGCCCCGAGGCATGCCAATGAAAAATAGAGGAAGTGTATTGTCGCCGGACACACACACGCACACACACGCGCGCGCGCGCGCGCGCGCAAGGGGTCGGCGAGTGTGTATGGAGGTGAGGAGGGGGGGGGGTGGGGGGGGGAGGCGAGGTGGGGGCGTACACGCCCTCCCACGGAGGAGGAGCCGCGAGGAGGGCGTATGTCTAAGGGGAACGCCCCACCGAAGCAAACAAACAGAGGGAGAAGGAAAGAGAGAAAGAAAAGAGTAGGGAGTTGGACGAGGCGGGACAGAGAGAGAGAGAGAGAGAGGGGGGGGGGGGAGAGCAAAAAAGGGCCACGGCGCCGCACACGACCCCGCCCCGGCCGGGGAGTGGGAGAAATGGTGGCAAGGACACAGGGGGGCGAGGAGGGCGGGCCAAGGGCGGCGTGCGGGTATTTCGCGCGCAGGACGCGCGACCAGAGCCAGGGCAGGAGAAACACACAGAGAGCCCGGGGGCAGGAAGAGGGAAAGACAGAGAGCAGAACAGGGGATGGCCCCCTTCGCCCGATGCAGCAACATCTGCCTCGTGTGTCGGCACAAATACGACGGCCACTCCCCGGGGCTGGCTCTCTCTCTCTCTCTCCCCCTGTCTCTCGATGTGCCGGACCTTTGGTCGCTCTTCTCCCGGGGGTCTGCCGGTCGTTGGATCTTGCCCCCCCCCCGCCCCTTTCTCTCTCTCTCTGTCGTTCTCCTTCCGGGCTTCGTCGGGCGACATGGCCAGACGCACGCACGCACGCACGCACGCGCGCACGGCAGCATCATCGCCCAGCAGCACGCACCCCCTTTAGAACATGAAGATGGCCCCGTCCTCGGCCTTCTTGGGCTTGGGCTTCGGGCGGAAGGCCTCCGGCATGTCGCGGATCTCCTCCGGGGTGAGCTCCTCGCCGGACTGGAAGGGCTCCGACTCGAAGAGGTCCTCCTCCGTGAGGATGGGCAGGTCGTCGAAGATCGGCACCTTGAGGATCTCATCGTCACCCAGCAGGGCCTCCCACTCCGGGTCCTCCGGGAGGCCCTCCTCATCCAGGCGAACCTTCCAGGCGAAGTCCCCGCCGCGGGCATCGGCCGCCATGGCCTCGAAGCGGGAAATGACACGCTCCACATACTGATCGGCCGGCGGCTCGACGGCCAGGTGCGAGCTCAGCAGGGCCAGCTGGTCGACCAGGGCCTCCACCTGCTCGAAGTCCACCCGACACAGGGCCCGGCTGTGGAGCCGCAGCGAGTCGGTACGCGTGAACTCCCCACGCCACTCGAGCGGCCGGATGAACTCGAACATCATGCGGTCCACATCGGGCGGGAACATTTCCGCCAGGCTCTCCTCCGACGGGCCATACTCGAAGGGGCGCGGGGCCTTCTCGACCAGCTCATCGCACTGCTCGGCAATGTGCCGCATCAGGCCGACGGACAGGGGCGTGTCCTCCGGGTACACCCAATGGTGGGTCCGGGCCAGGGCACGCATGGCCGATTCCAGGTCCTTCGGGGGGATGTGCGAGAAGATGAGCGGCATGAACTCCGCATTGGCGAACATCCGCTGGTAGCGGTTGACCGTGCGCATGTAGGCCCGGAGGATGCGCATGGACAGGCCGATCGGCGCCCGGGGAGCCAAATTCAGCGACTTGAGCACGGTCAGGCCACGAGGATGCATGCCCAGCAGCTCCGGCAGCTGGTCCACCAAACGCCCCAGGGACTTGGCCTGGCCCGGGGTCAGCGGCCCGATCATCGACGGGCTGGTCTGGTAGCGGTTGATCATGCGCAGCTGCAGGAGCTCCAGCTCGTGCAGGATCCGGTGGAGCTGGTCCTCGCTGGCCGGCGGCCGAGCCGCCAGGTCCAGGTACGGCTTCACCAGGGACAAATACTCGCGCACATAGTGCAACGTCATGACCGCATACTCGGTGTCCTCGCCCGGGTAGCGGCAGGGCTGCCAATTGGCGATGTCCGTGCTCCTGGACAGGTAGTCCACCTCGCGCGGCCGGAAGACCCCCTGCGTGATGTTGCGATCGTCCTGCCCGAGGGTGCCCATGTTGAAGGAGGTCCCGAACATGGTCACATGCTCGTCGGTCAGGAGATTGGCCACCAGCCCCGGCAGGGCTTCCATGCCGGGCGGCATGAAGGCCAGCGGCATGGAGGTGTGCTTTTGGCCCCGGGCGCCGAGCATGCCCCGGCGGGAGCCGTGCTTCTGCCGGTAGTACATTTCGCACGCCTGCGCCAGGACATACGCTCCGTTGAGGGAAATCCGCCGCAGGCCATGCTCCTCAAAGGTGGCCACCAGCTTCCGGGCCAGGACCTCCTGCCGGCGGAAGCTGGCACCGCGGCCGGTCCGGCTGGCCGGCGCGTCGTCACGCTCGGCCGCCGTGGCCGACACCACATCGAAGCCGTCCAGCTTCGAGGCGGCCGCCTCGCGGAAGGCCTGCTTGGTGGCCTCGGACCGCTCGACCTGGGTCTTGGCCCGGAGCCGGTCGAGGGACTCGAAGTACCGGTCGGTCTCGGCCAGCACCTCGCTCGGCTCCATCAGCTTCGTGGCCTGGCGCTTGGGGGTGCTGGAGGCGGAGCCCATGCGCCGGCGGCGGCCAGCGCCGGACTTTTGCATATCCTGCCCGGGGCCCGGCTCGGGGCCCGGCTTGCCGGCGTCCGTGGCCGGGGCATCCTTGGAGGGGGTGGCGGCGGTGGCGGCGGCGGCGGCGGAAGCGGCCACGGCGGCCACGGCGGCGGCGGTCGCGTCGTCGGTGCTCGTCCCGAGCAGGCCGGCCCGCACGGCCGGATCCGCCAGGAAGGCCCGCAGCATCTCGACCGGGGACTTGCCGGCCATGGCCTGGCGCTCCTCCTCCGACAGGAGATCCAGCAGGGGGGTCAAGTCGGCCTGGGCGGCGGCGTGCAGGAACTCCGGCGAATCCAGCAGCGCCTCATCGATGGGCGTGTCATCGAGCTGGTCCTCCGGCACAAAGAGATCCATGCTCTGGCGCAGCCGGGCCACCAGCACCGGCGACTGCTCCGGGTTCTCCAGGTCGATGCCCATGTCGGTGGCCAGCTTGTCGCAGGACAGCTCATTGACCAGGAGCTCCGCCGTGACCGAGGGCTCCTCCACACTGTCCAGGCCGCCCTCCGGCTGGAAGCGCGACATCGGCGCCAGGTCCTCCCGGGCCTCGGCGCGCCGCTGCCGCAGCTCCTCATACTCCGGGGTCAGGTGCACCCATGGCAGGGTCAGGTCCAGGGGGGCCTCCTTGTGGGGGACCATCCGGTCGAAGGACTTGTGCATGGTGTCCATGCCCTGCTGCACGTAGCCGGTCCGGTTTTCCATGAAGTTGGGCAGGTCAAACCCGATGCGGCTCTTCTTCTTCTTCTTCTTCTGGTCGAAGCGCTTCTGGGCCTCGGCCTCGGCCTCGGCGTCGGGGCCGGCCGTCTTCGAGTCCTCGGAGCCGGGCTTCTTCTCGTCGCGAGCGGTGCCGGCGGCGGTGGCGGCGGCGGCGCCGGCAGCGGTGCCAGCAGCAGCGGCGGCGCCGGCGCCGGCCCCGGCCGCGCCAGCCTCCGCGGCGCTCTCCGGATCATTCGGATCCGGGGCCACCTTGAAGTTGGGGTCGTACTCCTCGACGTCGCTCTCGAAGTCGCTGATGCCCTCCTCGTTGTCTTCGTCATCGCTGCCGTAGACCTCCGGCGCGGGGATCGGGCAGAAGTCGTGGCGCGGGTCCATGCGGAATTCCCACTCCAGCTCCACGCGATCCTTGGCCTCCTGGATCATCCGGTGCATGAAGGGACTCCCGCCGAGGGCCGGGGAGTTGGCGATGTAGAGCTCCGTGTATCTCTGTGTGTGTGTGTGTGTGTGTGCGCGCGCGCGACCATGCGCCAGAGGCAGGGAGCTGTGATTAGTGGACGAGCACCGGCGGCGGGGGGGGGGGGGGGGGGGGGGGGGGGGGGGGGGGGGGGGGGGCAGGGCAGGCAGGGAGAGGGGCCCTGGCCGAGGGCGCGGCCGGTGGGAACGCACTTGACGGAACTCCTCGATCGGGATGGACGCATTGATCCCAAGGACCTGGTATGCCTGGGCGATGGGCATCCTGCCCGGGGCGAAGAAGGACTCCTCGGGGTTTCGTTCCAGCCGGGAGGAAGCGGCCGACGCGGCGGCGGCGGCGGCAGCACCACCGGCTGCGAGTCGCATGGGGCAGGCATGGTGGTGAGCAGCGGAGCGAGGGGGCGCAGGGAAAGGGGCCGGACAGGGCGGCGGCACGCACTCATGGTGGCATTCCGGTAGGCATGGACGAAGCCCTTGAGCGCGATGGTGACGGCCTGGACGGCCACCTGGGCAAAGATGCGTGACTGTTCGGGGGCGGCGGTGGAGGCGGAGGCGCATGCGAGGCGGAGCCCACCGGGTTAGCGGGCGACCGGGCGAAGCGGCGGAAAAAGCGCGAGCAGATGCCTTCCCGGGGCCCGGCCCCTCGGCGCAGGAGGCCACACGGAGGGACGGGGCGCGGGGGGCCCGAAGGATGGCGTGAGCGTACCATGGCCGAGGCGGTTCAGGCACAGAGGCGCCGGAAGCGGGCTCTCTGTCAGGGGCGCGAGCGCGGCAAGAGGAGGGGCCAGGGAAGGGCGGCGGGGAGGGGGGAGGGGCAGAGCAACGGTCGCTGCGCGGACAGGGGAACGACGATGGGCGGCG